AAAAAAAAGAAAAAAAACTTGGAGAACATTTGCCAGGACATCACACTATATAGTCTTTGCCCTCACGGATTTTACAGCCCAGCTGGGAAACTGACACATAAATGAAATGATTGAGAGTAAAAACTAAGTAAATAATTGGCGTTTACGAAGAGTGCTGTCAAAGAAACCTGCGTGAGCCGGGCTAGAGAAGAACAAGGACAAACCTATTAGACGGGGGGACAGAGAAGAGGGGGTGTTTATGCTGAGACCCAAAGCATGGGAAGAAGGAAAAGAAAGATCTCTGAAGGTGAAGGTCTCGATATGGGGTCCAGAGCTTCATGGGTTTCAGGACCTGCCAGAGGCCGGTGTGGCTACAACACGTGGTGGGAGATCATGCGAGATAAAGGTGGGGAGGTGAGCAGCGTCCAGTCACACAGGGCCGTGGAGCTGTGGCAAGACTCTGGCACTTTTCAAGCCTAGCACATAGTATGTTCATCATAAATGTTACTTGCAACGTCATATGCCTGTCACATAGAGCGACTCCATCAAGTCTGGCTCTCAGTCTGGTTTATCGAGGAGGAAACAGAGGGTCCAGGAGGCTCCCTCTCACCGGTTCCCACATTGGTAACTAGCTGAGTTGCAGTCACATCCAGGTCTCTGTCCATTGTCCTAACTGCCCCTGAGAGTGCCTGCAGGCACTAAGTCCCCAGCCCTGCCCTGCTCCTTACCTGACACCGTGGAACTGACGAAGATGGCCACACTGCTGGACGGAGGCGCTGGGAGGGGGCCCACCTGACCTTGGAGAAGCCGCCGGCGAGTGCCTGGGCTGAGGGGGCCCTCGCTCATTGCTGCCTGCCCGCCTTGATAATTCTTCCCTGGGAAAGGGCCTGGGGTTCAGAGATCTCACACTGGTAGCCCAGCAGTGTTCCTGGGAGGCCAGCCCGGCAGTGCCATCTGGAGCGGGGCACCTGTCTCGCCTCCTGTCGCACCCTCGGCGTCCTGCAGCCCTCGCCACCTCCAGCGACCCCAGGGAGCTGAACCAGCTGTTCCCCGCTGCCCTAGTTGGTCTGCAAGTGCTGACGGGGGGACATTAGACAGTGGCCTCCCGGCCACGGCCTCTGGATGTTGGCTCCTCGAGGCACAGGAGTCTCCTTCCCAGCTCCCAGCCCTGAGCGCTCAGTGGTAGCCACAGCAACTGCGGTCTCCCGGCACTGGGTGGTGGGGCCCAGGGACCAGCCAGCCTCTCAAACACCTGGGTCCCCTGGGGCCTCCCTGTAAGTTGAGCCTGAGCCCAGGTGTGCGCAGGGAGATGTTGGGAGCTGTGCCCAGCCCTGGCGGCAAAGGCAAGAGGGATAAACACTCACCCACCAACCAGGAACAGTCCTTCCAGGTCCAGACACCACGAGTGCTATTTATTTATACTTTTTAGAGATAGGGTCTCCCTCTGTCACCCAGGCTAGAATGCAGTTGTGTGATCATAGCTCACTGTGACCTCAAACTCCCGTGCTCAAGCGATCCTCCCATCTCAGCCTCCCAAGTGGCTGGGACTACAGGCACGCGCCACCACGCCCGGCTGATTTTTTCTATTTTTGGTAGAGAGGGGTCTCACGCTTGCTCAGGCTAGTCCCGAACTCCTGACCTCAAGCAATCTCCCACCTCAGCCTCCCCAAATGCTAGGGTTACAGGGGTGTGCCACCCAGCCCCGCCGCGTGTGCTATTTAAACCATCGGTTCTCACGTAGGAGCCATTCTGCCCCCAGGGGACACTTGCAATGTCGGGAGATGGTTTTGGTTGCCACGACTGGTGGGGAGGGTGCCACCAGCGTCCGGAGGGTGGAGGTCACGGATGCTGGCCAACACCCTACAACGCACAGGACAGTCCCCACCACAAAGAAAGATCTGTTCCAAATTGTCAACAGTGGTGAGAAACCAGCTTTAAATCAACCCCAGCCAGACATCTTTGCCTGGTCTCAGGCGTGGAGACGGAGACCGGCTCTCTTCGACAAGGAGGGAGATTGGCAAGCCTCAGAGCGGTGACGAAGGACCTACCGTGTCAAACTGAGACATGCTCTTTGAAATACCCAGCAGCATATGCTCTACGGCCAGGGAAGACTCTCACAATTCGACATTATTGAGAATGCCCTGGGGGCCCGACCCTTGCCCACCCGCCGGTCGACTACACCCCCCCACCGCTGGAGGCAGAGAGAACAAACGACACCTCGGCACCCGTGCGCCCGGTTTGAACGCTGGCTCCTCCATCACCTTCCCGGGGGTTTACGTGAGGGGCTTCAGCCACGCGGTCTGTGAAACAGGAACGAGAACCGCTCAGGACACTCGGAGGCGGCAGGCAATGTGTTCACGGATCAAGGTCAATGCCAAAACCCACCATGAACCCAGCACGAACAAGGCAGTTGGGGGTGGTCTGTGAGGTGCCCGGTGTGTAGTGGGCACCTACGATAAACGGTATCGCTTCCACTGAACTCCCTGGGCTTTTTCATACCTTTGCGTCTTTGTTCCTACTATCCTTTCTGCCTCGACTTCCCTTCCCTGCCTTGTCCACTCAAGAGAGGCTTTGCCATTCAGGGGTCACCAAGACCATCCTCAGGCTCGATGATTTGCTAGGAGGACTCTGAGAATTGAGAACAGCTGTTATACTCATGGTCATGGTTTACTACAGTGAACTTCCAGGTGTCTCCTCCCAATGAAGTTGTGTAAACAGTGCTTACGTCTTCAAGCAACATGTGCCAACACGCATGGTGTACTGCTAACCAGGGAACCCCGCCCCGACCTTTGGTGTCCAGGGTTTTTACTGGGGTTGATCATGTAGGCATGGCGGACCACCTGCATGGCTGACCGCAATCTCCGGCACGTCCAGGGCTCAGCTGATACCGTGCGACCCAAAGCTCACACCATAAACCACCTTGTTACTATCCAGTGTGACTGAAGACCCTGCAGGTCGACAAAGACACTCTTGTCA